CAGGAACTAGGGTCTGAGAGAGACACTCCCTGCCGTGCTGGAACAGGGGGAAAGCCTAATGCTAGCAGTGGATCAGGAACATTGAGAGAAGCCTTCCGGAAAACCATTCCCCAACATAATGACACAAGGTAACGCCAAAGAAAACTGAAAATCGTGGAGCACTGAAGGTAACCACATTAACAACCAAGTTCAAATCCAGTTTAACTCCTGACTACACTGACTCAACCTCCTACACTGATGTTTGTATTTAGTGTAGAAGAACAGATGTTTGTATTTCCAGGCTTAAATGTGGTTTACTATGTCCTTACTGTCTTACACATGATGTCTGGCATTTAATAAAAAAATTATGAAACGAGCCCTGGCTGGTATAGCTCAGTGGATTGAGTGCGAGCCTTCGAAACAAAGGATCGAGGTTCAATCCCCAGTCAGGGCACATGCCTGGGTTGCAGGCCAGGTCCCAGCAGGGGACACACAAGAGGCAACTATACATTGATATTTCTCTCCCTCTCTCCTTCCTTTCCCCTCTGTCTAAAAATAAATAAATAAAATCTTTTAAAAAATTATGAGACCCACAGAAAAGCAAGAGAGAAACATTGTAAAAAGTGTATAAAATGAAGCAATCAGTAGAACCAAACTCATATATGACCCAGATGGTGAAACTCTCAGGAAATTTTAAATACTATGATTAATATAATTAATGCCTCTAATGAAAAAAGTAGACAACACATGAAAAGATGAGTAATTTTTGCTGAGAAGATGGAAACTACAGGAAAGAGTTAAATGGAAATGTTAGATAAAAACCAAAACCGTAAGGAACATAAAGAATGCCTTCAACTGGCACAGCAGAAGACTAACACAACTGTGGAAAGACTCAGCAAAGTTGAAGATACAGTATATCAATAAAAATTACCAAAACAGAAACACAAGGAAAAAATGATTGTAGAAAAAGAAAAAAAGACCATTGAGAGCGTTGAGGCAACATCAGTCTAACATATGTAGAAATATATGTTATGGATTTATATGTAAAAGTAAAATGTGTGATAACAATAGTGCAAAATATGTAATAGAGGCATTAGAATCATATTGTTGTAAGGTTTCTACACAATGAGGAGAATTACAGTATTTGAATATTTAAATATACCTGTGTATTAAATGTTAGGGCAATCACTAAAAAATGAGATAAATAATAAGTTGAGAGTGAAAATAAAATGGAATAACAAAAAAAGAAGAAAATGAGCAAAGAACAGATACACCAAATTTTAAAATTAGCAAGATTGTATTTTAATCTATCCATATTAATAATATGTAAATTTCATAAATATACAATGAAAAGACACAGGTTGTCAGGAAGAATAAAAAGGCAATATCCAAATATGTGCTATGTATTAAAAGCTATTTTAATTTTTTTATTAATCTTCACCCAAGTATATGTTTCATTGATTTGAGAGAGAGAGCAAGCTAGCTATCAGCTGCCTCCCTATGCACCCAGCTGCAGATGGAACCCATAGCTTAGGTATGTGCCCTGGCCTGGGACAAAACTCACAACCACAGGACAATGCTCCAACCAAATGAGACACCTGGCCAGGGCTGGAAAGCCATTTCAGACACAGATAAATTCAGAGTAAAATCATGGAGACAAATGTGTCATGTAAAGACCAGTTTAAAAAAAAAGCTGGAGAGCCAATGTTAATATCAACCAGACTTCAGAACAAAGACTATATTACCAGGGATAAAGAAGTCATTTCAAAATGTCAATGTCAAAATGTTATCAGGACATAATGGTAATCCTAAAGGTGCGTACGCTTAACAGTAGAACTTTAAAACACATGCATAAAAAAGAGAACTGAAGAAAAAATAAGCCAATCCACAATTACATTAGTTGATCTCAATACTTCTCAGTAATTGATAAAGCAAATAGACAGAAATAGTTTAAAGATGTACAGTACTTGATAGTATGCTCAACCAATTTGACCTTACTGACATTTCTAGAACAAGCTCACCAACAACACCAGAATAGACATTTTCAAGTGCACATGAAACACCAGGATAGATCATACTTTGCACAATAGAATAAACCTCAATCCATTTAAAATATTTAAAGTCATTCAGAGTATGTTCTCTGACTGTATTGTAATTGAACTAGCAATCACTAATAAAATACCTGGACAACTGAAATATTTGGAAATTTTGCAAAACAGTGCTAAATAATTCATTGGGCAAAAAAGCCCTTGAATATTTTGATTTGAATGAATGAGAAAGCACAACATATCAAAATCTGTGCAAAGCACTAAAGCAGAGCTTAGAAGAAAATTTATAAATTTGTATTTTCAAAGAAGAATGGTCTTAAGGATTTAAGCTCCCACCCTGAGAAACTATAAAAAGAAAAGTAAATTAAAACCAAAGTAAGCAGAAAAATAACTAATGGTGGTAAGAGCAGAAGTCAATGGACTTGAAAATAGAGAAACAATAGAAGAAATAAAGACAAAAGTTTGCTCTTTGAAAATATAAATAAAATTAACAAAACTCTGAAGAATAGTATTTCTTTAAAGTTATTTCTGGGTAGAGTTTATTCCTATGTGCACAACATTAATATAGTTTCAATAATATGCTCATTGAATAAATGTTTAGTACCAATTCTATGCCAGGCACTATCTTAAATGCTTGGGACGCATCAGTGTCCAACACAAAAATTTCTGGCAACAGCCTAACCAACAAGTTTTAATTGGAGGCTGCTTCATGAGAAGCTGTACATTAGCCATGTCTTTGGTAAAGTTCGTGTGGAAGCTGCTCAACTAAGGGGACTAAATGCACATAAGAGTTGCATGCTGGTTTCAAAATGTTTTGCATGGTGCATGCCCTGTAGTCAAGTTTCGATTGACATATTTTCAAGCTCACTGATTCTCTCTTCATGGGTGTCCAGTCTACCGATTGGCTTGTCTAAGTCATTTGTCATTTGTTAGTGTTTTTGATTCCTTGAATTTTTTTGGATTCTTTCCTAGAGTTTCCATCTCTCTGTTTACGTTACCCACCTGTTCTTGCATGCTGTCCACATTTTCCATTAGAACTCTGCCTACATTAACCATAGTGATGTTAAATTCCTGTTCAATAATCACCAGATCTGTCAAAGCTGAGTTTAGTTCTGGTGCTTACTCTGCCTTTCACACTGTGTTTCCTCCTTGCCTTATAGCAACTTGCTCTTAGCCTTGTAGTTTTCTTGTTGAAACCTGGACCTATTGGGTAACAGGAACTGAGGTAAATAAGGCTTTAGTGAGGTATGAGGTTTTTGTATTATATGGCTAGAAGTTAGGCCGTGTTTAATGTTTGCTGTATCCGGAGGTGCCAGAGACTTCAAATTCCTCCTCATTTTGTTTCTGTCTCTTGTTGCCCTTGGATTTCCCTAAGAATTTCTTGCTAGAGTGTGTTTTTGTAGCACTCGCAGCTGTAACCAACTGTAATTACCCTGGAGCACTGTTGGTGTTGTGGTAAAGCCTGGAAAAGGGAAAGCACTTGTAATTTTATAATTAAATCTCTATTTTAGGGCTGTGACCTTCACAGGTGTTTCTTAGCTTGTCTCTCTCCACTTAGGTGAGACCGGAAGGCTGCAGGAGGCTATAGTTGGAGAAATGGCCAGGCGGGATAAGGCTCTGGTAAAATGGTTTCCTCTGGACCGGAGACCTTTGTTATGGAGAAGGTTCTGGACACATTTCATCCCAGAGGAGATCCTTTTGGTTTTACACTGTGAGAACCTGCTGGGGTTCCCGGAGGCAAGACCCATGAAAGTGTGGGGGCCTCCCTAAGACTGCAGCCCCCAGTAGTTTCATGCTAGTCCACACTCAGTCTGTCAATTCATCAAAATTACCACTCAAGTGTCTCGGTTTACGGCATCAGTGGCTTCTGCTCTGGGCAAGTAGGTCTCGCAGTGACTCCCTGTTTTCATCTCTCTCTCCAGATTTCAGGGTGGTGGGCTGCCCTGTGACCTTGGTTCTATAATTAGTCACAGAAAAATGATTAACTTCTAGTTTACTTAGCTTTTTCTGGTAGTAAAGATGGAAATGATGACTTCTAAGCCTTTTATATTTTGAAGCTGAAACTGAAAGTCCTTTTTATTATTAAACTTTAAGCAGAGATATTGCTACACAAGATGGACTTCAAATTAGATAACACAAACTGTCAGGTTTTCACACTTCCTGCCTTAATTTTCTTTTGCTTTTTAGTTTTGATGAGGTTTCTCTTAATATGCCTAAGAATCTCTAAAATCAATATTTAACTAATTTCTGACCCATTCCTGTCCTTACATTCTTCTGTTTAAAATGAACTTTAGTGTCTAACCTGCTGATAAAAATAAACCAGACCTATATCCTGCCATCCTAGTTATTTTTTCTCGTTGGTACCCAGGCCACGTATTACATAACAGAATGATATCCATGTGGCCCATACATTTTATTCCCCAAGTTTAGCAACAGCTTGGGGCGGGGGGGGGGGGGGCGGGGGGGGCGAGTGGGGTGAGGGGGCTGGTGAGGAGAAGGCTCTGGGCAAGCACGAGCTACCCACCGCGCCTCACAGTTTCCCAGCAAGGGCGACAGTGACCATGCTTTCCTCTGCTGAGGACAAAGGCAATCATCCACCCAGGTGGAATAGGCATTGGGGGCGCAGATATTGTGCGTGTGGAAAGTGGCCTTAGCCTCACGTACTAAAACAGAATTTATGTATTTCTATGTAAACAGTAACCTCAGCTTGGTGCCCTACCCCCACCAAGAGAGTTTAGCCGCTGAGGGAAATCTTGAGCTACCTAAAGAGTTTGCATCAGGACGTAAAATCCGGACTTCCCGCCAGTGGACCTACGGTAATACAAACTCTGTCAGCTCCCAAGAAGCTCGCAGCCCATTGGATCTTGCTTGTCCAATGGGAGGCCGCACCTTGGTTTGATTCTGGGGCACCTCGGAGGTCGTTGCTGGGAAACCACATAAACGCCAGACTGCGCAGCTTGCAGTTGTTTGCGCCTTTGCAGTAGGAGGTTGTGCCCAGCACCCCCCTGCACCCCACCTCGGAGCCACGGACGAGGATTTTTGTCCAGCAAGATGGTGAGAGGCTGGGGCAGGGGTTAGGGAGTTTGTGGGGGCCAGGTCTTGAAACGACTTGCCTATCTATTGATTGAGTTGTATTTTAGATCTAGTCTGCTTTAAAACAAAACAAAAAAAAAAAAAAGAATTTGAAATACTCAACCTGAGAATTAGTTGGAAGGTTGCATTTGATTTCAGAGGCCTCAGGAGCGATTACTTAAGGGCCACTCTGCTGTAGCTGCCAGCTCTGTTTGCTTTTTTTCCGACACTATTAGACCTCCCAGTAAAAATCTTATTGACCAAATTTCAGGAACATTAGGAAATGATTAAGAACCGCTGAACAAATGATGAGTGGAAATTAAAATCCAGGAGAGAGCGAATGAGTAATTAGCAGTGGGTTGATCCATTACCCCTATATTAGGAAAACCTGGGCATCGGAGCGGCACTTAACGGCCAAGCTGGGGGCCGGGGACGGCTACTGCAAAGGCGCCTGGGGGAGAGGTGGGAATGGATGGGGAGAGGAGGAATTCCCCGGGTGGTGGTAAAGAGCTGCGTGTGTATAGAGAGCTCCGCTGCACTTTTTTCAATTCTAGTGCAGCTGTTTATGAGCTGAACAACCTTGTAAAGTTGCTTTTACTTTTGTTTCCTCATTTATAAGATGGGGAATAATAACAGATCCTACCTGCTTCATGGGTATATCGATATATTTACCTACCATCTTTACATTTTTATTATGGTATATTTTCCTGAATTTAGGAAGGAAGCCAAAGCCCCTTCCTGGCTTTATTACTGATACCTATCTCTCTGTCATTTGTCCCTGGGACTTACATAAATATATTTTAAAAAATTAGATTTTGGAACACCAAAACGTGCATACTTTTTTTTTTTTTTTGGCATTACAGGATTCCAAAAGAAGAATGAGCGTCAGTGAAAAGCACCAGAATTTAGTAGATAAAAACTACAGCAAACAATTGTACATTGAGACACTAAAAAAGATAGATAATCAAGTCAGGACTCAAATGGTGCAGAATGAAAATGAAGCCCGTGCTGAGCACAAGAGATTCCTCAGATTATTACAAAATGAACAATTTGAGTTAGATATGGAAGAGGCCATTCAAAAGGTAAGTTTTACTATTTATTCTTAACATTTTTTCTTTATTTTTCTCCTTGGAAACAATGAATGCTAACTGCATATACTGGAATTGAGTAGGTAACGCCTTCAGACAAAGGACACCTCACTGAAAGCCCAGTGTAGAAGTAAGAGCTGGGGTTTGGAGCTAGATTATGTCTTTGAATTCTATTACTGCTGTACATTAGTTGTGGAAACTTGGATGGGGCACTTTTCCTTTTTATGCCTCTTTATAAAATGGGAATAATAACAGTACCTGCTCCATATGATTGTTCTAATACTAAATGAGTTAATACCTGCAAAGTCCTTGGGATAATGCCAGGAAGAGAGTAGCCCAGGTTTTATTTCATAAATATGAAATCTACAATTACTAACAACCAATTTTGTTCACATAAATACAGTTCTGTTGCCTTCCATAAAATTCTGAAGACAAAAATGTAATACCTTTTGAATTTACTGAGATTAAATATGTATATTATTAAAGTGGTAGAAAATGAACACTTAATGTATCAGGTATAGATTTACTTGGTAATTTTTTATTTTTGAAATATTGCCTTGAAGAATTCAAGTACAATTTATATGTATATAACTCCTAAAATATGGAGATAATTTTTCAGCAAAATTTCTAAATATTTAAAGGGATGAGGAAGGGAGAAAAAGGGAAACCAATAAGCAATGAGTTCTTATAAATGTAAAAGAGGTATCTGATATTTCAGTATTTTTTGCATTCCTAAGTTCAACATTTTGTAGCACATTGTGGGAAGCGGCAAAGGCAAGTTTTAAAAGTAGTAGCCATCTCTCTGAGTTCCAAATTCCAGAAACTTAGACATGATTTTTTTAATCCTGAGCAAGATCCCTCGGTTTAGATTTTTTTTTGTATTTTGCTTTCAAGGTAATCCTGGATAACCTGTCAACTATATTGTACATACTTTAGTTTACATCTTATAAAATAGATATTTTCTTACATAATGTCACTGTCTCACCCAACAGAATTATTGATAACTTCTAGGTATCATTTAATACCTTTTCATAAGCAAAAGGTATTAGAAATCTACTAATTCTATTGTGTCAGAAATCTACTTTTTCATGTGGTTTTTATTTTATTTATTTATTTTTAGAGAGACGGGAAGGGAAGGAGAAAGAGTGGGAGAGAAACATCAATGTGTGGTTGCCTCTCATGTGTCCCCCACTGGGGACCTGGCCCGCAACCCAGGCGTGTGCCCTGACTGGGAATTGAACCAGCAACCCTTTGCTTCACAGGCCCATGCTCAATCCACTGAACTACACCAGCCAGGGTTCAAGTGGCTTGTTTTAATCAGGGTCCAAACAAGGTTCATACAGCACATTTGGTTGTTATGCCTATTAGGTCCCTCTTCATCTAAGGCAGCCCCTTTGTCATCCTTAATTTTTTTAACTTCATGTTTCTAGCTTGTTAACTAGGCTGTTTATCTGTTTACTTCCTCATTGGTTTCTTTAGTTTGTTCCCCTATCTCTTACATTTCCTCTACATGGAAATTAGCCTTAAAGGCTAAATTATTAGATTTATATACAACTTTTTGGCAATTGCTCCACAGATGTTGCTCCCCTTGACATTGTATCACAACGGAAACATCAGCTCTTCCAGAGTCTCAAGCCTGCCAGGCTTCAGACAGGAACCACACCATCAGTTTTCTTGGTCTCAGTCCTTCCGACAACACAGACTGGAACTACACCATTGGCTCTCCTGACACTCCAGCTTTCCCTCTCACCCTGCAGATCTTGGGACTTCCCTGCTTCCATAATCCCTTAAACCAATTCCATCATGTTCTGTTTCTCTGGAAAGTCCCGACTAATACAAGGCAGCTTATGTTGTAAATTTCTACTTCACACCTGGAATTGGCTATTGTACCAAGGAGTTGTATTATCATTTAGTGGAAATAATATTTAGAGGCAATTTGGGTGCTAGACATGCTCATTATTCTTGAGTTATTGATTTCGGGTCTTTTAGTGGATGGACCTTGGAAATAACACGAGTTTTTAACTTTATTTTGAGATAAATTTAGATTTATGGAAGAGCTGCTAAAATAGTATAGAGAATTTCTGTATATCCTTCACCTGAATTCCCTTTATGGGATACTTATTCAAATGAGGAAATTAGCCTTGGTACAGTACTGGTAACTAAATTACAGGATTTATTCAGACTTTAAATGCTGATTTACATCAGTTTTTCCATTGATGTCTTTTTTTTTCTGTTCCTGGATCACAAATGGCATTTAGTTGCCGTGTCTCCCTAGTCTGCTCCAGTACATGAATGCTCCTCACTTTTCTGTCTTTCATATCTTGACAGTTTTAAAGAATATTGTTCATTTGCTATATTAGTTTTCTTTTTAAAAAACTGAATCTTTATTGTATTTTTTCCATTGCCATTTAGTCCCCTTATACCCCATCCCCTGAATACTTAATTCCTTTTCCCTCACTCCCCCTCCCCCGCTAGCTGTCACCCTGCTCTCCATCTATGAGTCTGTCCCCATTTGCCTTGCTAGTTCAGTTTGTTCATTCGATTCCAACTCATGTTGTTGCATGAATTATTCCTTTTAATTGCTGAACTGTATAGTAGTATTTCAGTCTGTGGATTTACCACTGTTTATTCGTTCATAAGTTGAAGGAAATCTGAGTTATTTTCAGTTTTTGGCAATTATGAATAAAGCTGCTATAAACTTTGATTACAAACGTTTGTATGAACACAAACTTTCTTTTCACTTGAATAGGAATCTGGGAGTAGGATGGTTGGGTCATATGGTAGGTGTGTTATTTCATTTTATGAGACTGCCAAACTGTTTTCCAAAGCTGCTGCACTATTTTATATTTCCCCAAGTAATGTGTAAGAGATCCAGTTGCTTTGCTGTTGCTTTTTGTTAATTGAAATTTTTATTGGGATAAGTGTAGATTCATATGTAGTTATAAGCAATAAAACAGAAAGATCCTATATTCTTTGTACCCAATTTTTCGCAGTGGTACATCTAGCAAAACTAAAGTACAATGTCACAAACAAGATATCGATAATGATGCCATTCATCAGTTTTACTCAGATTTCCCCAGTTTTACTGGAGTTGTGTTTGTGTGCATGTGCATGTGTGTTTAGTTCTGTACAGTTGATCGCGTGTGTAAATCTGTGTATCCAGCACCCCAGTCAAGATACAGGAGTTCTGTGACCTCAGGATCCCTCATGTTGTTCTTTCATAAGCAAACCCATCTGTTTGTTCTGCACATTTACCTCATCTCTCACATTGGTAATCACTAATATGTTCTCCGTTTCTATAGTTTTGTCATTTCACGAGTATTATATATACAACTCAACAAGAAGACAAAAAAATTTTAATGGGCAAAGGATTTCAACAGCCATTTCTCCAAAGAAGATACACAAATTAGCAAGAAGTACGAAAAGATGCTCACCATCATTAGTCACTAGAGAGGTGCATATCAAAACCACAATAGACACCACTGTAGACCCATGAGGATTATTTTTTTTATTGATTTGAAAAGAGACAGACAGACATCAACTTTTTGTTCCAATATTTATTTAAGCATTTAAGCATTGATTCTTGTACGTGCCCTGACAGGGATTGAACTGCAATCTGGTCATATGGGGATGATGCTCTAACCAACTGAGCTACCCTGCCAGGACAATTATTATAATTTTAAAAAAGAAACTGCCAAAGTTATAGAGAACTTGAAATTCTTCTACATTGCTGGCAGAAGTCTAAAATAGTGTAATGATTGTGGAAAACAGTTTGGTAGTTTCTCAAAAAGTTCAATGTAGTTACTATATTACCCAGGAGTTCCACTGAAGGTATACACCCAAGATAATTGAAAACATGTCCACACAGAAACTTTCACATGAATGCCCATAGCTGCATTATTCATGATAACAGGTGGAAACAACCCAAATGCCCATAAGTTGATAAACAAAATGTATTATATCCACACAATGGACTACTATACAGCTGTAAAAAGGATGCATTTCTAAATCTTGCTGCAACATGGATTAACCTTGAAAATGTATGCTAAGTGAAAGAAGCCAAACACAAAAGGCCACATGTTGTATGATTTCATTTAAATGAAACACCTGGAATGGACAACTCCATAGAGATAGAACGTTCGTGGTTGCCAGAGGATGAGGGCTATGGTGGGTTCTCCGGTATGGGTTTTGTTTTTTTGCGGAGGGGGGGATGGTGAAAATGTTTTGAAACACTGAAAATTATGTCCATGCAAAAACCCACCCACAAATGGATGTTTATAGCAGCTTTATTCATAGTTGCCAAAACTTGGAAGCAAGCAAGATACCTTTCAGAAGGTGAGTGATACATAATCCAGACAATAGAATATTATTCAGTGCTAAAAAAAAATTAGATGGCAAGCTATGAAAATACATGGGGGAACCTCAAATGTATTTTACTAAGTGAAAGAAGCCAATCTGAAGAGACTACACACTGCGTGACTCCAACTATCCAACATTCTGGAAAGGGCAAAACTGTAGACAGCAGATCAATGCTTGTCAGGAGTTTCAGGGAGGGAGAGATGAGCAGGCAGAGCACAGAGGCATTTGGGGACCATGAAACTACTGTGTATGACACCGCAGTGGTGTGTAGATGTCATTGTACATTTGTCAAAACCCACAGAATGTACAGCACCAAGTGTGAACTGTAATGTAAATGGTGGACTTTGGGTGACAATGACATGTCAGTGTAGGCTGGTGGTGACAAGTGTGCCACTGTGGTGCAGGATGTTGACAGTGAGGGGGGCTGTCCATGTGTGGACACACAGGGTATATGGACACTCTGTTCTTTTCTGCTCTATTTTTCTGTGAATGCAAAACTCTAAAAAAATTGTCTTATTTTTAAAAAAAGTTCTGGAACCAGGTAGTGGTGATGGTTGACAATATTGTGAGTATACTAAAGGACTACCAAGTTGTAAACTGTGAAAAGTGGATTTTATGCTGTTAAAATGAAGAACATGTTCAAAGACATTATTTAAATGGGATCAAACGGTTTGTATGTAACCTTTTGGGACTGGGTTTTTTCCACTCAGCATAATTACCAGAGATTCATCCAGCTTGTTGCATGTATCAATACCCCACTCCTTCCTGTCACCCAGCAGCATTCCGTGGTGCGGGTGCACCTCAGTTTATCCGGCCATTCACCTATTAAGGGATGTCTGGTATTTCCGGTATTGACTCTTAAATGAATCGGCTGCACACATTTGGGTACAGGTTTTTAAATAAATATGTTTTCACTTTTCTATGATAAATGCTTAAGAGTACAGTTGTTGAATTGTATAATAATGGCATATTAGGTTTATAAAGAACAACCACACTTTGTCAGAGTGGCTGTATCTTATTACATCTCCACACAACAGTGTGGGTGAGTGATGGAGTTTCTCGCCAGCATCTGGTTTTGCCACTCTGTTTATTTTAGCCATCCGCATAGGGATGTAGTGGTATATCATTGTAGTTTTAACTCGCATGTCCTGGTAGCTCATGACGTTGAACATCCAATCATGTGCTTATTCTTCCCTTGATGCAGAATTTAATCAAGCTTCTAGATCTCTACCATTTTACAGGAAGTACAAAAGGGGGAAACAAGTTAAACAATATCCTCAGGATGCAATGAGCGAAATTCAGAAATGGAACATTCTATGGGAGATGGGTTCTAATTTCCACAACAAATCAGTGGCTTGGAAGGAAAAAGTATATATATAAGAGGTGACTGTTGCAGAATCAAAGAGACTTAAAAGAAATAATAACTAGATGCAATATGTGGGCTTTGTTTGGATTTTGATTAGAACAAACTTTTTTTAAAAAGCATATTTGAGACAATTGAGGAAACCTGAATATGGATGAGGCATTAGACTCTACTAAGGAATTATTTTGTTGTTAATTATTTAGACATTTTAATGGCATAGTTGTTATATAGGAAGAAATTCTTACTAGGTACAGATTAATACTCAATTATACACATGGTAATGATATTGCTAGCATTTGTTTTAAAATACACTAGAGTCCTGGCAGGGTGGCTCAGTTGGTTAGAGTGTTGTCCCATACAACCAATGGTTGCAGGTTCAATTCCCAGTCAGGGCACTTACCTAGGTTGCAGTTTCAGTTGCTGGTTGGGGCATGTAGAAAAGGCAACCAATCGATGTTTCTCTCTCACATCCATGTCTCTTTCCCTCCCTCCCTCTCTCTCTTTCTCTCCCCCTCTCTAAAATCAATAAATATATTTTTGGGTGAGGATCACAAATAATTTTTTAAATAATAAAATACTTGCCCTGGCTTGTGTAGATCAGTGGATTGAGCACGGGCTTGCAAACCAAAGCATCATGGTTCGATTCCCAGTCAGGGCACATGCCTGGGTTGCAGTTGCAGGCCAGTTCCCAGCACAGCCTGCAACCATCCTGGGACGCACGAGAGGCAACCATCCATTGATATTTCTCTCCCTCTTTCCTTCCCTTCCCCTCTAACGATAAATAAATAAAATCTTTAAAAAATATAATAAAGTACTATAGGAAAAGGAAAAGTAAGAGTGGCATGGAAGAGTAGAGAAAAAAGGTTAACGAAATACTGGCAGTCACTGAAGATGAGCGACGGCCACCCGAGGGTGTAATTTCGTATTTTTCTTAACCATTGGTGATGTTTGAAGTTTTCCATGCTGAAATATTTGGAAAATTATTTATTTAAATAGTAGTTTGTATTTTAAAGTAAAACAAATACTTGATTGCTGTTCTGAAGGCACCGGCAGTTTTCTGATATAAACAAATTCAACCTTGATGAAAAAAAATCTGATTCGGGAAGATAACTAACTAAAGTGATGCATTTTTTATTCAGGCAGAAGAAAACAAAAGACTGAAGGAACTCCAGCGTGAGCAGGAAGAAAAACTGGCTGTGGAACTGGCAAAGTTAAAACACGCCAGCCTAAAGGACGAAAAGATGAGGCAGCAAGTAAGAGAGAACAGGTACATTGGTGTCTATAAATTTCATTTGTTTAGTTTTTATCTCTAAACTCTTATGTAATGCTTAGTACCTGAGAGTGAAATTTCTTTTTATAATTGTACATAGTTAATTTTGCCTTGAAATACTTATGGCTTTATATCCTCTATATATTCATTTGAGAAAAGAAATTGTATTTCTAGAAGTAAAGTGTTAATATTTAAGGTGAAAAAAAATCAGTTCCCTCTGCTCTTTTCTCAAAACATAATTTTTAAAATTACCTCTTGCAAAAAAAAATACTCATTGAAACTCTTAAGAGAAACCTTAGGTGATGCCTCATTTAATTTTTATGCTCCTACGTAAACTGCTCCTAGTGCTTCTGGATCGTGGCTGGTCAGCGGTGGTCAGCACCTCTAGCGACTGTGATAGGAATTTTCGTTTTTGTTCAGCACTAATTTTGAATAATCTTTTCCCCCCATCTTAAAATTAATTTCCCTATAACTTCTACACATTTATCTCTGTTTTGCTATCAGATGGAAAAAATTAGTTCTTCTTTAGGACATTCTTTCATGTTTATGAATCCACTAAATGTTTTCTTCTGTAAGTTAAATATCCCTCCTTCTTTTATTTGCTCACCATCCAGGTTCTCTCTGTAGATCTGATGGAGACTATTGGTGTTCCTTAACAAAATATTGCCCCATGATTTCTTTCTTTGTATCATTGCACTCACTTCTGGGTACTGCTTAGTACCCCTAATAATGGGACTACTAACCATATTGATCTAGAGTGTGTTTTCTTAATATTGCCTAAGATCGAATTACTTTTTAGGGGCAGCCATGACACCCTTCTGATTAAAATTCAGGGCTAACTAAATGCCCAGCCTGTACTTGCAGGTATGTAAGTGAATATACTGGAAATTTACTTTGATAGTTGTTGCATTTTATCTCAGCAGTGTTTCTGTAGAATATGTTACGGCCGTGGATGAGTTTCAGGGGCTTTAAGCCTCATTAAATTATATCTGTTTGGCCCTTGCTGGTGTGGCTCATTTGGCTGGAGCATCATCCTATACACCAAAAGGTTGGGGGTTGGATTCTGGGTCAGGCACGTTCCTAGGTTTAGAGTTCCATCCCCTGCCAGGGTGCACATGGGAGGCAGCCACTCCATGTTCCTGTCTCACAGCAATGTTTTTCTCTCTCCCTTTCTCTCTCCTTCCCTCTCTGCAATCAGTAACATTTTTAAAAAATCATGTGTTTGGCAAATAAACCCATGTGTATTTTTGTATGTCCACAGCTTTTAAAGTCTATAAAATTTTTAAGGGATTATTCCTTAAAAATGATTTAGAATGACTGCGAATGTTTAGAATGTCTTCATGTCATTCTAGTCTCAGACTAACCTTCTGGACTTTAACTTTCCAATCATTGTTAGCTATCACTCGCAGTTTTATATTATCAGACATGTCTGAGTCTAATTCACTGATACAAGATTTAAATAGAAGAGCTTTCCACTTCTAGCAGTTGTAGACTAGGTGATGCAGATAAATTCTCTCTGAGAAGAAAGCATCTGGAGAAAGTGTAAAAGAACTAGGAGAGGAAGGAAACCAGAATGGTGAGCCTGGAGCTTGTAATCTGCTGATTCCCCCAAACAGTGAGTTAAGTGAAGCAGAGCTTGACCAATAAGCAGATGCCCAGGTGTTTGACATCATTCTACAAGTTGTGTGCTTCAGATTTGTGCACTGTGGTGTCTGCTTTCCTTCAACAGTACAGAATTGAATTAGATTTTATTAGATTGAAACAGATAAAGAGATAAAGTGTTAGCAGGTTAGTGGAAAGCATCCAGGATAAAGCACAGAGAGACAAAAGGATAGAAAAATATGCTGGAGAACGTGAAAGAGGTAGGATGGAAAGGTCTAACAAATACATACTTTTAGTCCTGGTGTGAGACATGAAAGAGGATGATGCAGACCGATGATATTTGAAGAGGTTCTGGCCAAGAATTTCCAAAAATTATGAAAGACATAAAGCCACGGGTTAAAATACAATAAATTAAAAACTACACCTATACTCATAGTCAAACTTTTGAAATCCAACAGTAGATAAAAATCATGAAAATAGGAAAAGTAGCCACACAAAAAAAGACTATTACCTTTAAAGGAGTAACACTAAAAACTATGACTGCATTTTCAGCACCAAGAGTGGAAACTAGAAGACAGATTTAAAGGACTGAAAGAAATAGCCCATCTAAAATTCTATACCTTGTGAAAATTTTCTTTAAATTTAAAACTAATTCAGTTATACATTCTTTCAGATAGCGTATGCTGTGTCTCAGCAATGCAGAACTGCTAAGGATATCTTATATTGTGTATAAGCCATGGTAAATTTTTGACTAACATGCAAAAATGGACTGATTTCCTAATGTGTGTTCACCAAATTGCCAAGTCTATGGAAATGTTTGCTGTGGTGCTCAAAGTCACCTATATTAAGATTAGGCTGTTTACATTTAAAATAATTTTCAAAACTCAGGATATCCCTGGCTGGTGTAGCTCAGTGGATTGAGCACTAGCCTATAAACCAAAGTGTCATGGGTTCAATTCCCAGTCAGGGCACAGGCCTGGGCTGTGGGCCAGGTCCTCAGTAGGGGACACATGAGAGACAACCACTCACTGATGTTTCTCTCTCTTTCTCCCTCCCTTTCTCTAAAATTAAATAAATAAAATTTTACCCCAAAAATGAAAGGAAAACTCAGGGTAAATTTTTTAAAAGTTGAAATTTATTTTTAAAATAATTACATTAATAAGTCATGAGACTTTTGTTATTTGATTTTTGAACACATGATTTTTTTAATGTAAGAAAATATTTAAAATAATTTAATTGTATCAGTGCTTTTAACTGGAGTTGGGAAACTCACTGCCCATTTTTAGAAATCTTATGTTAAGTGTAGAACAAATTAATGAATAATTATAGTTAATAACACAATTATTAGTTACTTATTTATAATTATCAAAATTTATTCATTAACTATATAATAATTACCATTTGTAATTAAATTATAATCACTTATACAATTTATATTTATTGCATTATTAGCACCTACATGTTTAGTACATAGTAAATGTATTTATGAACATGCAAAAACAATATTTCATATATAATTTGTATTTAACTTCCACAAAAACAAGCTCAAAGAAGAGACAGAGATAGTCTTTCCTTGTTAAATATATAACCTGTTCATTGCTGATGCCAGTACAATTGTATTCCAGACACATAATCAAGATATTAATTGTTGGTGGGAATGCAAACTGGTATAGCCACTAGTATAGAAATTTCCTCAGAAAACTAAAAATGGAACTGCCTTTTGACCTAGCAATTATGCTGCTGGGATTATATCCTAAGAACAGTGAAACACCAGTCCATAAGAGCCTATGTACCCCAGTGTTCATAGCAGCACAATTTACAATAGCCAAGTGCTGGAAGCAACCTAAGTGCCCATCACTAAATGAATGGATCAAAAATCTGTGGTACATTTACACAATGGAATTCTGTGCAACAGAAAGAAACAAGGAGCTCCTACCCTTTGCAACAGCATGGATGGAACTGGAGAGCATTATGCTAAGTGAAATAAGCTAGGCAGTGAGGGACAAATACCATATGATCTCTGCTTTAACTGGAACCTAATCAACAAAACAAACAAGTAAGCAAAATATAACCAGAGACATTGAAATTAAGAACAATGTGACAGTAACCAGAAGGGATGTGGGAGGGGATAACGGGGGGTGGAGAGGGAAGGGTTTTCAGGAACACCTATAAAGGACACATGGACAAAACTAAGGGGAGTGGGATCAGGGGAGGGAGGTGGGGATGGCTGGGGTGGGGAGTAAATGCAGACAACTGTACTTGAACAACAATAAAATAATTTAAAAAAATAAAATGCAGGTTTTCTGAGACCAAAAAAAGGTATTAATTATGAATACTAAGTATATGATATGGATAAAAAAATAACATTTTCAGGTATTTCCTTCAGGTAGAGGAAATGAATGATCCCAACATTAATTTCAGAGCTTCAGTAAGATAAACAAATAGTAAATCTAGGTAATTTGAATATGTAAATAATTTATTATGTCTTTTGGGGTTTAATATATGTAAAGATTTAAAATATAAATTATAACAAAAGTGAGATAGGAAGTAAATATTGTACATGGAGTTAAAGTGGTCAAGAATTTTTTTTCTAAATAAAATTTCACCTTTAAAAAAAAGGGCGGGGAGCTAGAAGGCTGGAATAAAATTGGAAGGAATTAAGCAAAAGAAAAACTCAGACAAAACTATAAAAATTTTTCAAAATTACACTTGACATACACTATTATGTTAGTTTCAGGTGTATAGCATAGTGATTAGACATTCACGTATCTTATGAAGTAATCATCCTGATAAGTCTAATACCCATCTGTGACCATACATGTTATTACAATATTATTGATTATATTCTCTACGCTGTACTTTATATCCCCACGAATGTTTATGACTAGCAATTTGTATTTCTTAAGCCCTTCACCTTTTTTGCCCATCTCTCCAGTGCCCCTGCCATCTGGCAACTATCAGTCTGTTCTCTGCATCTGAGTTTGTTTCTGTTTTGTTTGTTTGTTTGTATATTTTGTTTTGTAGATTCCACACATAAGTGAAATCATGGTACTAGTCTTTCTCTGTCTGGCTTACTTTTGTGGCTGAGTGACACATCATTGTATATATGTACCACATGTTCTGTATCCATTTGTCTATCGATGGGCTCTTAGGTTGCTTTCATACCTTAACTATTGCAGATAATGCTGAAATGAACACAGGAGTGCATATATCTTTTCAAACTAGTATTTTGGGTCTGTTTGAATAAATTCCCAAAGTAGAATTGCTGGGTCATATGGTAGTTCTGTGTTTAACTTTTTGACAACCTCCATGCTGTTTTCCACAGTGGCTGCACTAATTTAGAATCCTGCCAACGGTGCATAGGGTTCCCCTTTTGCACATCCTTGCCAACAGTT